TTCGATTATTGCACTGGCAATTTATTATTGCTGGGCTTTTCGGCGGCTTAACCGTTGGCGTGTTGTATAGTATGTTTTGTATACACTTGAAAAAACAACACCTATTCCGCTCTTTTCATACCATTCGCGGTTAAAACGTTAAAGCAATATTTATACAAAAAAAAAAAAGCAACCGAGACCACTATAGCTATCTTGTAATACTGTTCTTGTGGGGTCATCGCGCCATGTTTTTTTTATTAATAACCCGTCCGGGTAAAAAATTGTTCAAGGAATAAATGGCCAGAGGTAAAAACGCCCTGACGGTTGAGAAAGTGGAAGAAGTTGGTTTTGGCATGAAAAAACATCTTGGATGGTCGATAACGCTTAAAAACATAATTCTTGAGATGTTGAGCTGCGGCTAAAAATGTGTACAAGCAACACGTTCTTAAACTTTGTAAAATAAATTGAACAAACGAGTAAATAAGACGAAATAATAAATCGAGTAAATTTAGTGACATTTTTGAGCTAAAGGTAGAAATTGTTTCCACATTTTTATCTTTGGATGATTTTTTTGGGCTTTGCTAAACAAATTGAGTTGGAAAAAAACATAAGCAACACTTGTGGTTATGTATTATAGTCAAGAAATATTAAAATTCACCCTTAGCCACAAAAATAACATAGAGTATTATTGTTGTAGTGAAGGATTCATTTAAACTGGGTTTACTAATCGAGTAAAACAATAGTTATCTCGGTTGACACCGGTCTGATAACATTATCTGTCATGTTAAGATATCGAATAATATTATTAGTATAAAAAAATCTTATTTGGATAGTTTACTAAAATACAATACTATATAAATTCTCAAACTGCTCCACGTTTTTAATTGTTGTTTTTTTTAAATATAAATCACACACATATTATGTAGGTAATATTGCAAAATTACTTTTATTGAGTACATTGCACTACGCCTTGTCGTCTAACAAAACGTGTTTCTTATACAAAAAAAAAAGATAGGACCTCTTAAAATATTATCACGTTTGAGAACTGCAGCTCACGAAGCGGTTGTTCATTTTTTGGCGGGTCGTATAACGTTGTGTTATTTTTAGTGCGTGGGTGTGTGAGGAAAAAGTGGGAAGGAAAGCGACCGAAAGAAAAAAAATTGTGTGAGCAGTGACAGAGTATAAACGACGTGGGCTAGGGGTGGGCGGCCAAGCAATATATATATATATATGTATAGTACACAGTGTGTGCACAAACACATACACACCACCACATCAGTGGAGCGAGGAGGGGAAGTGTTAGGCTAGCTGCTACAAGCTATTACACAAACGGTTGGGATTGTGGCTCGTGAGAAACCGGACACCCGGCGGTTCGCTTTTCGTTTGCACCCCCCCGCGCCTCTAAACGAGTACACACGGCACTCCGGTAGCGAAAAATCAAAAGGGATGAAAAAATAAATAAAAGAAAAACCCGCCCCCTCATCCACCGCGCGCCCAAATATTATAGCACAAAACATATACAGGGTGATGGCGGTTTAACAATTATATTTTACATTGTACGAGACTATTTTATTGGCCACAGTATTGCGCGGTTGGTTTATAAACCACCTGTTCTTATAAGACATTTTTAAAATTTAAATAAAATTATGTTTTCTCATTAGGTACGCGATCGATCACCTTCAAAGTGTCTCTGGATAATAATTATTATCTTTTGAGAATAAAATATTTCTCGCGGTCACCGCCCTGTATGTACACCGTACACACCCTGTAGGGGGTGTGTGTAGTGGCAAAAAGGGGTATTATACAACTTAATTACCCCTTCGGCGGTACCAGATTATCTTCGCCGGATTACTCGACCGCCGCCGCAGCCGCTCATTAACCGTCACGGCCGTTTTGGCGAGAACACAAAAGTGTCTTGGGGAAATCATTAAAGGATTACCGGCCGGGATTTGTTGTTTCTTATTTCTTTTTTTCTCCGGCATTTAAGAAAGCCCATAAACACACACACACACACAACACACCGTAATCCATATAATCGATCAGCATCAGACGAGGTACAGCTGTTTCAATTATTTGAAGTCTGTGCGATACATCTTATGCACCTAATCTTTATTTTCGATTTTCTCTTGCTTGACGACAAGATACAAAATATGAGTTGAAACCGTTTCGAAAAAAAAGCTGCAAAATTTTCTTTAGATCTCTGAAACCGATAAACGGATTTTATTATTTAGGCTCTTGTTAGTAGACAACCTTGGCATGTGCAGGAGTGCAGTGAAGAGTTTCATAACACATTTTTTTTCATACTTTTTTAGTTAATTGCTTAACAACGGAAGATATATTCAAAAAATGGCTTTGATTGGCTTTCGGGTAAGTACGTCGGTAGGTAAGTGCGGTAGTCTAGCACTTTGGATGTGTAAAAAATAAAAAAACAAATAACGACAAAAGGATTTAAACAGGCGTAAGTACACCGCATCGTCGTTATTGAACGTCAACATCTGGACCGACCGCTGAAAAAAAAATATATAAGAGCAAAAAAATTGTTAAAAAAAAAGAATAATAATAAAAAAACAAATATCCCATCGAGGAGCGACGATGGTGGTAAAAAAAACTTGGGAAGAACTTAGGGAGAGTGGGACAAACGGCCCGGAGCCGTTCGCATTTGCATATGTTATATATTGTGTGCTCTTGTATATACACACACATTACATACATATGAAATAATATGTGGATTGTAATTTAAGGTGCTCCATAACCGCCACCGGTGTACGCACATGACAATATAATACACACACACATATACTTAGGGCAATTTGTTATGAAAAGTAAACTCTACTTTAATGCGTTTTCGACCCCACGGCCTATATATATATATATATATATATATATATATATATATATATGTAGGTACATCATAAATACATCCTCCGCTGCAACGGTATACATTGTTTGTTCACGACAAACCCTTTTTAGGTTTGTCTGTATTGTTTTTCGACACGTTTAAATGTACATTCTGTATTATTTAAAAAAAAATATATATATATATATATATATATATATATATTAAAGAAAAATAATAATAATACACTCAACAGTTGCCCACGAGCAACAAAAAAAAAACGTGCCATAATAATAAGCGAGGTAAAAATATTAATAATTCTATTTTCTACCCCAGAAATGATTTATAACTATTGAAAGTTATAAAATAGCTTTCTAATATAACGCTTCGAAGCGAATCTGCAATTGGTACAACGTTTAAATATTTAAAAGGCAAATTATGTGTTTCAAATTAAATTATTCTGAGTAGTATAAGCAATACAGGGTATTCCACATTCGCTTTCTCAAAAAATAGTTATAATTTTCTAATTTTTTTCTATTTTAAAGTTTTCCTGACTTAGGTCATCTAAACTGAGAGCTAAATACAATTATTTTTTTGATGGATTTAAGAGCTATTTACAAAAAAAAAATTACAGTTTGTTAGGATAACAATACATAACTTAAACTACTAAAACATGCATAAACAAGTGTTATTTACAAATATAAAAGATAAAAGATACAGTATAATAGATAAGTATAAACATAGAGATGGATAAAAGTATGTTCACAGTTATAATAAAAACTACAATTTTCTAGTTTTTCTTTTTGAAAACATTTATACCTATGTTATTTTCCAGTATGTATGTATAAAATTACCGAGTTATTTTTTAAACTATTTAAACGATATCGTATTTAATGTATTTAATTCACTTGTTAAATTTAGAATGATTAGCCGAAAATGTCGATAACCAGTTTTAAATACTCGCTTTTAAAGTTATAAGAGTAAGAGTAGAATTTAAAGCGAAATGTGTAGGGCGGTTGAGTGATGCGTGCCAATCACTTCACTCCACTCTTCCTTAACTTTAAACTTTGATGACTTCAAAGGTAATTAATGAAATATGATTATAGACCGCAGTCAGCTTTTTCAGGAAATTATTCGTATTTTAAACAATACATTAAATGTATATTGTATAGGTACGTTCCCATGTATGTTTCAAAAATTGATTTATTATGTATATATATTTTATAAGATTGATTTACACGTGTATTCGCTTTATTTATTCGTTTACTCTATTTACTTACTCGTTTGTTCGTATTGATATTGACAAAGCGTAAAAAATATTATCACGCTCCTACATTTCTTGCTTTAGTTCAAAATCTCACGAATTTACAAGACTACTTATGTGGTCAATATTGCTCTTTCCATTGGACCATCCTAAGAGGCCGACATTTTGTCTGGCTTTTTGGTCTTAAACAAGCCCCAATATGACTTTTACTCGCAGAAAAAATGTACATATAAATTAAAAACAATACCTCGAAGCTTGTACAAAATGTTATATTAACCGGAAAATCTATCGACGCGGTGGAAATGTATTAAAAGCAAATTTTTCTCAAAATATTGTCCGTAGAAAACTCTTTAAAAATACACACCCCTTGCAAATTCCCTCCAAGTTAACTTCCGGCGGATACCCCTAGCGGCTGTGGTCCGGCAAAGCTACGACACACAGGGTAGTTATTACCTACGAGGAGTGAGGTGGTGAGGGGTTGTTACGGAACGGACAAGGTACCGGCGAGGGGTGGGTTTGTTACATAGTAGTGATAGGTGCGCCGCGGACCGGAGGGGATGTAGGAGACGAAATTAATAACTTTTTGGAGGGGGTGGGGGTAGGGGGTGGTGAACGGGTGCCGGTCTCGAGCCGCAGGGTTTTTCCGTGTTTGACACGTTGTTACGCGACCCGGGCCCACGGGTACGGCGGGGACCCGGACGGGGGTGGAGGGAGGTGACCGGTACCGGCCCGCAAAGACACGCCCACGGACCAACGCACACACGGCCGTGGAACCGCCGGCGCCGCCCCGCCGACTTAGTAACACCGGCCGTTACGCTGCCGTTACGGCTATTCGCTTTTTGGCCCTGCTGTCGGTCAAACGCCTTTTGCACACAGCCGCACCGCCGCCGCCGCCGCAGGCCAATGCTCGTCGATCGCCGTCGCCCCGCAGGTGAGTCGGATACCTGCGTTAATAGTCATTTATTATTATATAAGCATCAGTTGGGGCATGTGACCTACCTGGTTTTTCTTTGGTGACACCACCTTCCTGGTTTACCTGGGTTTTGTTCAATTTCTGGTGGAAAAATAAAATATAATTTTTGTGTTTTGGGTGTTCAAACACTCCCCCCCCCCTCAAATGCTTGGTATTTTGTATGGTTATTTACTTATTCAATTTTAATGTTATATTATACTTTAATAGACAGGTATACAAAACACCCCCCAAAAGTTTTTTCTGCGTACGTCCCTGGCGCACAGGGGAAGAACATTGTTCAAATAGTTTTTCTCAATATATGCCATTAATTTTTTTTATTTATGTCAATAGATTGTTTGAATAAATACATTTTTTATCTTTCACTTAATGTGATTTTTTTTTTGTTCTTGTAAGAGAGAGAGGTATCACGAACTTATTGTTTTTCCTATACTCAGAAATGAACTACTACCGTTCTTTCCCTGTGCCGTTCAAGTATATTTACAATCTGTAATATTAGATATAATTAGTAAATTTGAAGAAAATTATACAATGACAGGATGATACTATAGAAGGGGGTGTCCAGTAACACTACTTCAATGTATATACTATATACCATTGTAACTGACAAGTAACCCGATATAGGTACCACCCAACATTAGAATGCATGTGGTCAGTAGGTTTTAAAAATGAAAATTTTTCAAAGAATACATGGCACCACTTCGGTTATTTAGCATTTTATTGTAGCAAATTGTAATAAATGACTCATTTTTAATTATTTAATGTGAATTTATGTTATTATAAAAAAAAAAGGACACAATTTACAAATGTTTTAATCGTATAAAATAAATCATACATTTTCAATAACATATAATAATAACATAAATGTACAATAACATGTAATACTCTTAACATTAGTATTCAGAGTTAAACTATTGGTAGGCATTATTTTCCTGCTAAACAAATGTCGGAGTTAGGTTGCAAAATCTCAACTTAAAGGTTAAACCAATATGTGTAATTATTTAGTACAGTAATCAGAACTCTTTTTTATGGTAGTTAATTTATTTTTCGGACAATCACAACACCTTTGAGAACGGTTTAAAATGTGTTTTTTTTTTTGTTCTAAACATAGCTATATGCATATTCTCTACTAATGACTAAATAATAATCGTAGACAACTTTTTTTTTACATATTTTAAATAATAAGAAATAGGGTTGAAAAGCTCTTGATTTTGTTTGTGGTCAAGTGGGCCTGTTGTACTCAATATAAATTTGGGATTAGTTACCGTTAGTCAACAACGTACAGGTACTTATATTATTTTGAACCTTTTTTTTAGTACAAACGCAATCTATCTGAGCTTTTGGACATCAGCTCGAAAGAAATTCGTTGGAAACATTTTTCCATCTACTGGCAGTGTCGTCGCAACATGGTTTGATGTGCAGATAATGGGCACAGGTATGACTAGTGTTAGTTAGAAATTGTTTTTAAAAATTTATTTTATTTTAAAAATTAGTCCTTGTAACTAAACAATCTGAATAGTTTTAATCGATGGTAAGCAAAAATAAGGAGAAAGAGTAACTGCAATGCTTATGTGGGACGAAAGTAGTTAACTGTACCTAATTAATACATCCGACCTAGCTAAAAACCAAAGTCATCGGTAAGCGGAAGAAACTATTTTGTTGATTAAGTACGACCGATGGAAAAAAAATAGAAAATCAAACGATAAATCTAAAATGACACAACGGCGGTTTTTGGTATTCGTTAAAAAAAAAAATACATAAACAAAATGATCAAAAAGTTAAAGTAATAATAACTTTTGGCTGCTAAAAGGCGAGTAGTGTAAAGAAAATAAATTGTTTGTTATTGTCTTAAGTAATTAACTAGCGCCTAGTATCAGATAATGAGTTTTTAATACCCTCTTGTATAAAACATTAATATTTTTCACCTAAACAGCACAAAATATACCAACGACTTGATTTTTTTTTAATATTCATTTAATTAATTATACCAGACTTTCGCTTGTCGATCGGTTTCAAGTTTCAACAAATTGACAATAACAGCAAACTTAGCGTGTACTTTTGTACAGCAAGTTTAGACAAACATTTTTAACTTTTAAACTAGTTTGGAAATCGACTCGGAGCGTTAGACAGAAACGACTTAACAAGAATACTATAAGAGTGGAAATTTTAAATAAAAAATCAGTACAACGGACGGAGTGGTTGGATGACATAGAAGGAAAATGTGTAGAGTAGATATAGGTGGAAAAACGATGACCAAAATGATAAATTTCTTCTAGAAAGAGGGAAAGAAGATTAATTGGCTATTGGCCACCCTTTTGTTTCCGTGGGATAAGACCAAACTCGAATGTCTTAAGCGTCCCGTTTCGTTTCTTCGAGAAAATCATATTTTAATCCGTTAAGCAAATACATATTATATATATAATATATATATATAATATATATATATATATGGATATATATATATATATATATATATATGGTGTCGATGGCGCAGTCGGTTACACTCCGGCTTCGCTTTTAAAAGGATTGCAATAGCGCCGCCGTGATCGCTTTTTAATCTCTCTATTATTGCGAAAAGTTTTGTTGACCTTTTTATAAGCCTTTCTTTTCGAAAAACCCCGGAGAAGAAGAAGACTGTATATTGGACGCGGGGCTGCGATAAACACCAAGGCGGAGGGTGTGAGAAAAAAACGCCACGGGCAAAACTTTAACCGACCAGCAAAGTTCGAGGTGGCCCATAAAGAAACGTTTTATTCCTCCTTTTTTTTTTTTTTTAACGATAAATAATAAATAAACCGAGTGAAAAAAAAATACCTTGCTCGTCGATCGAACTGTACATTATTTAAACGTCTTCGAGATCAGCGCCTTAAATGGCCTTTTATACATTTTTAATATCCGTCTCACGCCAAAACACAGTAGACCGTCTGTCGTCTGGGCTAGAAAACGATCGAAAAGTTACCACCGGTATTGCCCCTGAAAATCCCTTTAAAATACATAAAGCACCCTCCTTCCCTCTCCCCTTCCTCGCAGCTTAGCCACTGTCCTGTAGTACTTACTCATTTAAATAAAATTGACACTTGAACTCAAAAATTATACCAAGCGGTTTATTTAATTGTCGGGTACTTTTAGATAAGAGTGTAGTCTGTGCGCAGAGTAAGGTCAATGTGAATAAAAACATTTGTCCCCGAAATCTAACGAAGTAAAAATTTTTTTTTAAAAAGTAGGTGAATATATAGAAAGTGTTGAAAATGTAGATTACGATCGGGGTGGTTTAATACCGAGAGTAAACTTACATTCTAACTACATGTTCAGCAATAATATGCAGAGCCATTGTTGGCTACTTGTGTCATAGCTTAACAATTACACTTCTAAGTAGAAAACATCACTTTAATTTTGAAAAAAAAACGAAATTCTCGAGCCAATTTTTTTCATGATATCGTCGCCCACAACACTGTATAACGTAAATCCTAATCAGACGTGATGACGTTCCTTCGGTATATATGGTATTGTGTGTGTGTGTGTGGAATTAGTGGAAACGACTTTTACACTCCAAACGCCAAACGTTTGCCCTTCTCCAATGCCTGTGAAACGCTTGGCGTGTAATGCAATCGCCGTGGCGCTCCCGGGCGTACGGGGTGGTTGGCAAATCCACTCTTGTCTCCAACACATAAATATATATTATGTATATATATATATATATATATATACTATACGCGTTGTGATGTTACTTAGAGTTTGTCGAATTGAACTTGCCGGAGACCGCGATCCGCCCGTGTTAAGATGCTGCTGTATACACTCTTGAGAAAAGCGCGCGTTAAACTTTGGCCGGGTCGCAGGCAGGCCCGAGGCGGTTGCAGCCACAACAGCTGGGTCTAGATTGTATACATATAGCTTTTTCACAACACGGTGGCAACGGGATACCACCCCCCCCCCTCCCCCGCTACCCCCGGGAACATCCATTAGCCGACTTAGGTCCTGAGGGCAATCATGCCGTATATATATATATATATATATATATGTGTGTGTGTCATGGTCGTGGCGATGGTGGTAGTGGTGGTGGTGGTGGTCTTTGTCGAAGACAATCCGTGTAACCGTGGAGGTGTTACGAAGTTAAGCAACACCTCGGAATAGAACGAATACTTAAGTATGAGAAGGCGAGTGGGGGGGAGCAGCAGAAGGGGTGAGATAGTTTTGACACCTCACGAGATAAGAGGCTTTGGCGACAAGCTCATTAATAAACCACACGCACCAACTTTTCAGCGCTGGCAGTAACAGTTCTGGCAAATACGCCATGATATATGTATAATTATATCGCTTGTTTATATTCATAAATATTAGACTGTGACTGAGAAAAAGAAAATTTTACTTAGCCCTCCTCCTCGCAAATCAATAGTAGCCCAGAAAATCACATGTAACACATCTAATCGGTAAAGTCATAACAGGGAAAATCATATGATCAACAGTTCCCCCTCATTGGGGTTCTGTATAAAAAAAAAAAATCTATTTAGTAGTTTAGGAGGAGATATTTTGGGTTTGAGTACAAAGATAATTTTAAAAACAATACCTTCTCAGCTTTGCATTGATGCTAAAATAATGGCCAGTTAATCCTTAAACTTTTTTTTATATGGTATATAGAGCTAATAGAGGCTATAGAGATAAATGATAATACCATTATTGGTTTGATGGTCATATACTCATATAGATAACAACATATAGCGCTTATGGCTAGACAAAATATTGCTCTTTCAGCCTGTTGATTTGTCTGTTCAAAAATATAAAAATGATGATTCTTTTCAATTATTATTTACCAAAGTCAAAGGTGTTAATCATTAGTTGATTAATACCGTTAGTTATCGATAAAATGCAATTTTCTGTTAATTAAAAAAATAGTAAATGACTTAACCAATAGTTAATTAACACAGTTTACAACGTTGTACAATAAAATATGTATTAATACAGATTTAATCGTTGACATAGCCCACCTTTGACAGCGGTTAACATTTTTTACATTATTAAATTGTAGTTTAATTATTTATTTTGTAATCGAAATAAGATCATCATAGTTTAACGTCAATTGTGTACAATAAAATTATAACGAAGACACACGGTGTGTATAATTATTAATAAATCCGGTATAAAACTAACTAAGATAATATTATGTATTCTAACGAAACTTTTATTAATATTGTAGGCGACCGACTGTTGGACATCCCGTGCAAAGTTTGTGGGGATAGGAGCTCCGGCAAACACTACGGCATATACAGTTGTGACGGTAAGACTCGTTTTTATTACACTATCTAACACTCTTCCTTCCTTCAGCACAATGTGGTAAATCCACGGTGTCCGGGTAAAAGGAGTTATGTACGAAAAAGGGGTTAATTTTTTGATAAAAACAATACCTTCTCGGGTCCACGCCGTATCTTTTTTATTATTCGTTTAGATAACGAGGGCGTGTAGGGGAGGGAATAATAGAAGGGGACGGAAGGGTCATTTATCAAAAAACAAACAAACATAATATTATGTATTATTCAATGTTTAATAATAGAAAAATCAGCCGATCAGATATTGTTTTCCTCACAAAAACCAAATGGCGTGCTGATTAGAACTATGTGTATTTTTCGGGTAAAATACATTCCTAGTTCCGGCTATTTAAACACCCTTAACATGCGCCCCAAAACATTTTACCTCTTTAACCCCTTTGGCCCGGAGACCATTACAACGCTTTGTCGTACCCGTTCGTAGGCTGTTCGGGGTTTTTCAAAAGGAGCATTCACCGGAACCGGGTGTACACGTGCAAGGCACAGGGCGAACTCAAAGGCAGGTGCCCCATTGACAAGACTCACAGGAACCAGTGCAGGGCGTGCCGGCTCAACAAGTGCTTCCAGTCGGCTATGAACAAGGACGGTGAGTTTTTGTGCAAACTTTTGACAATCCATTTTTTACCCTCTGCGCCAGTAAAATGTAATATAATGTTAAATACTTATACAAGTACAACCACATGGCGTCCCATCAGCGGATTTACTTGTTGCTACTTCTCCTGAGTAAAATATATAAATATTTTTAAGTTCACAGTCACAGCGTTTGTGTTGGTGTGGTTTGTCGTATGGTTTTTTTTTAAAAACCTGACTTCTTAAAACGAGTAACGAGGGGCAATCCCTATTGTCTATTGTGCTTAATATGTAGCGTATGCTAGTAAGACCCACTCTTGAACCCGCTCACTGTTTCTGACTGTTGTCAGTTGAAATGAGTACCGCGGAAATTGTAAAGTCCTCCCAGCTCTGTGCTTAAAATAAAGTACTCTAATATACTGCAGTCGTGTAACATGGACATGCGATCATCATTCAGCTGATCGCAAACAAGCGTTGGTCCCTTTTTCAATTGTTCATGACATTTCTTGACTTGAATGTGCTTCAGAAGTCTACTAGAGGTCAGTGGGCCGTTTCTTTTAATAGGATTTATCATAACTGATGCATGTACCTCCCGAGTATTGACTGAACTGGTTATCTCAATTTTCATGCTTTTAAACGTCCCCGTTGCACTTAAAACGACTAAAGTATAGTTTGCGGGAGGAATTTTAACCGCCTAAGAGTAATTGCTTTGAAATCCTCGTGGGGTGGTGTGGGGAACTAAAACGCAACTGCTCCTTACACGGTGCCTTGGGAGGGAAAATGGACAAAATCAAGAAACGCTCTTCGACAGGTCTGCAGGCTCTGCTATACCGCAAAAGTTACACATCGCACTCGCACAAAACTCCTTTAATTGTATGCAGATCCACGACCCTGTGGTGCCATCGTGACTGAACATAATATCAGCGGCACCGCAACGGAATTTAGCAATGGCATTTAACGAAGCCGTCGTTCGCGTTTTAAGTACCACTTTGGCGTTCTTTTACAGAATGTAAAATAACTCCTGAGAAAATCGCACCACACTTTAACTGTTTGCCAAGAGGAACACATAAAATGGTTATGATATTATCATGGTGCATAAAAGTTCGTATTACGGACGAAGGGGAAAATAGAATATTATGATTAGTCAGTTTACATCAAAATCACTCTACTAAAGCGTTCATACAACAAGGAAGATTTTACTGTCTACAGTGTCCGTGTTGGCTGTAAGTGAGCTAGGGAAAACACAAGGATACATCTTCCAATCATTCTTCTTTGCCACAATTTACTCAATCAGCTAAATCTTCAAAGTTCTCATTTTGCATTCCTAATTTCATATCATACCCAAAGGCCAAACAGTCTTCATCTAATCAACAATTATCAGTGCAACACCCAAACCATCTCTTGTTGACTCGCTTTAAGGGCGAAAATCTCTAAGATTAGCACATAAGAAGGCAATTGCGTCGGTACAAAGCGGGCGGTGACGGTTAAATGCTCAGTTGAGATAGCCTCGGTGACTTTCGTCAATCTAAATGCTTAAATATTTCGCAAAAACTCCTCGAAAACAGTGAGATGATTATCAAGGAGGTCAAGGGAGATGCTTGAGCGTTGCTTACGGTTTTCGGAGCCCCACAAGGTTGCCACAATGAATGAGGGTGGCGGTTTATTTTTGTAATAACAATGGTGGTTCAGCTACCTCTTGAAAAATTGTACTAGTTTTCTTGTTCGAAGCGGTCAGAGTTGTTTGGGAAAACAATTAGCTGAGGTTTTTCCGACTGTTTTAAACGTATTTCGCTCACGTTTGTTTTGGCCGTCCATTACGCACTTCCGGCCGTGGTCGCTCATTAACGGGGCCGATTTTCTTTTTTTTCTCCTCTCCCTTTTTAATCTCTCTCTATCTCGACCGTTGTGAATAATGGCCCGCCCCTTAACCCTTAACGAAACGTCTAGTTTATAATGTCGTTAACGCAAAGTCTTCAATCACGCCTCCGCCGCTACCGCCATACATTGTGCGCTCCACCGAACCTCCTGCCTCTGCCTATAATATAGCTCCATCCGCTTTCTTCGACTTTGACAAATGAACCGATTCTCACCGCCAAAAGTTACACATATATATTTTATATATATATACGCATACCACCGTATAATATACGTATAAATTATATTAATAAAGGTGTTTGTGCGTTGTGTCGGATCATCGTTTCATCAACGATTACCTCTCTCTCTCCCTCGCACACAGCAAGCGCGTTATAATAGGTCACCCCGCCGTAAGTAATGCTCGTCGCCCCCTTTTGGGGTTTACGTGCGAGTTTCCGACAGCTGACGTAGTCGGATTAAGTGACTTACCAACAACGGAAAAACAAGTGTAAAATAGAAACGGCGATCGAGGGTCTGAAGGGTCGTGGTCGTCGATTTTGTGATGGGCGTTTGAAAACGGAGCCTTTGCCATACGCAACCGTTTAGATAGCCCGAGTCCCACGTGCCAGAGATTAACACAGGGCAAACAGTTCTCGAGGGTCCGGATTTGAATGAAAAATAATTATTCGGTCAAGTCCTCCGGCTAATATCGTCGTGGGACGCGTGAAGTGTAAAACGAACAGATCAGAACCATCAATTTGGAATCCTCGTCCGCCCCCCCCTAAATAAAATACAGTTGTCCAAACAAAAGTAACAAGTCTTAAAACGTAATTGAATCAATACGGGGAAGACCGTTCTATTTTGATGCTGAAAAACTGAAAAAATGATCATCCTAGTAGGCGCTTGAAAATTAATTGCATACCTGAACATCACAATCAAACTTAGTTCCTTGATATTTTTCACAGTACACTCTGGCCACCCTAGTCCTACACCTCCATAGACCTCTATCTTCTACACACTTGTTCAACCACCCCAGCTATCCTCATATCTATTCCGTCTATCCATCTTTTCTCTCCTACTGCCTCTGCGTCATATGTTTTCATAACATGACCTTACTGTCTCAACCGATTCTGTCTCATTTTCCCCACAATTGATGCAACTCCTAGACTACCCCTTCCACAGTATACTCTACTTAGGTTAAAATAAAAGAAGGATTTTTATCCCTGGACATATTTACCTAGACTTTTGTTTCAACTCGGACTCCGAACATCCAAGTTATCTATTTAAATATATTATCATGGCTATGCGTGCTCGATCGTTACCACAGTTTTTTTCCTTCAATTTCGATGGGATTCGGTTGTTGTTCCTCTTGTGCATGTGTTCTATGCCGTCTGACAACACAATAAGGCTCATATCAGATATTTGTTTTGGTAGTTAAACTTTCCAGGGAAAAAGGCAACGGTACCAGACGAACGTATTGTGTTGGATAATATATGCACAGCGCCGTCGTGCCCGTATGAAACGGTGGCGATGGCTTCAGATACTCGTTAGTTAAAACAACAACGACCGAGACCGTTTGTTCTTTAATGTTAGCGGATCATCATCATCATATGGTAAAGGTAAAAACCGTCGAGAGCGTTTGGTATCGAACGAGGAAGATGGGGGATAAAATATATAAAACGGGGAGGGAAAAAAAGGATCTTCCATACGATGATAGGGGCGGCTTTCAAACATACAAATAAATCGTCTGGGTCACGCGATACTACGGTTATGTACCATATTTTTATTTATGTGTATTTTCAGGGCAACGTATCGATTCGGTACCCCGCCTCTTCACTTTCTGAAATCAGTAAGTTTTTTTTTCCAAAACCGTTTTTCGAATAACGATATTCTACGATAATATTCGATTGTGTGAAAAATATAAATATAAAATATACCCGTACCGGCGCTGGCGCTAATTTAACAACCGCAGACCCGATCCGAGGGCTTTGGACAGTGAATTATACACTCACAATATCCCGTGTGTAGTGATAATATAATATTGTCATACTATAGGGAGAGAAAGTTTTTCAATCAGCAGTAAATATCATCGAACAATGCCAAACGACATTATTATTATTATAATCCCGTGATAAATCGTCGTGCTGTCCCTCTTGTAGTGTTTATTTTGGTTGTATTCATTGTAAACGCTTATAATGTGATAGTATTATTTGTTACCTCCGCCGTTGTGATATACAAATCGAATTCAATGCGGATTCGCCCCCGTTCATTTTTTTTTTCGCGTTAAAAAAAATCATGGTAAAACTCGGATTAAAAAAAAAAAACCCCTTATTATTTGCACGCTTCGGTTACCGCTATCCGAAAACAAAATGGTCCGATGAGATTTTTAAACATAAAACATACGTATATATTGTTAGTTCCAACAGCCAACAGGTTAAACGATTATTGGTGGTGGGCTTAGTCTTCATTTGAAAAAAAAACATATTTGGGTCTTTTTTCATTGTCATTGGCATGACTCAAAAATTGTCCGTTTTGGGTGTATTTAAGTCTATAAAAATGTGTCGATAACAAAGGTAAAAAAATCATTTAACATCCATTTCCTCACATCCCTAGGTTGTCCGCAAGTCTATGAGTTCTGAACATTGCAATAGTCCGGTAGAGTTGTCTGCTAAATGATGACAATTGGAGAATGACCATTAAATCAGTAGATGTGCTGCAACACTAGTTCCTTTCTCCACCGTCAAGTTTTTAATTTGCCACCGGTCAGGAATGGTTTGAGAAATATTTTTTTTGAAGTAGTCTACAACCTAGTTATCTACATTCCCCCCAAAAGCCACCACTCTGCAAAAGCTACCGCGACCCCAGGATAGGTCACTCCCTTGGAATTTGGCTTTGGAAAATGACAAACTGTCAAAGAAAACGACAAGGAAGAGATTGATTGAAAGCGTTTTTTTAGAAAGAAGTTAACATTTTTTTTTTTGTAAAATGTCAATACCGAAAGTGGTCCCTATTCGATAAACGACCCAAACACCACCCTTAAGTAGAATATTGCACTTTTCGTTTACAGCCGTGCAACACGAGAGAGGTCCGAGAAAGCCCAAGTTGCATCATCACCACCATCACCATCACCATCACCAGTCGCTTAAGGAAGGCATGCAGCCGGCCGGCAACCAGCGGACCGTCAATCAGATTCAGCTCAACGCCGAGCACATGATCCAGAAGACCACCGCCGTCGGATATCCAAAACCTTCGCCCATGGAGACGCCTCTGCCTCCGGTGCCGCCTCAACACCAGCATCCGCCTCCTCTGCCCCCGCCGCCACCGCCAACCATGTTACCGCCTACCCCGCCACAAGGGCACGTTTTTCTCGGCCAGCAGCAGCCACCCCCTCCCCCGGGACTACTGCAGATACTCATGTCCGCCGAGAAATGCCAGGTATGTAAACGTGCAAAACACTTAAGAATATTAGAACATGACAGGGGTTCGTGTTATCTATCCTCTCCCAATAACCTCGATTTACTATCGATTACTAAACCTAAAAAATCTTCTTGAGTACTCACAACCTTAATCTCCAAACCTTTGCAGCAACTTAATGTACCAAGTACGTTCCAGTATAGTTTGTCCCGTTAAAAATAATCGTAAAAACGTGTTTATGACAAAGCGTGGTGTAGGTCAAAGCGAAATGGTCGTTGACAAAAATTTGATGATACCGTTAAAAACAGAGAAACTTTAGGTTCTTTTTTATTTAAGTTAAAATATAAATATGAATAATGGGTTAATAGTGTCAAAAAAAAAGCAGACGAGAAAACCTAGATGAAGATCTCCGTATTGTTATAGTGAGTGGCGTTTATTGTAAAAGTGAAACATCTCCGTGTAATAGAATTTTGAAATAACGAGCTTTTTGTAAATTAATGTGTAGGAAAATAAAATATACAAGTATTCATTCGGTGTTTTCTATTATTTTTTTTTATATATTTTTGCATTTATTGTAGTTGCTTCTCTTTTATAACGAAATAAATTACTAGAAATGTGACTCCGTCAAGCAAACATATGCATAATTAAAATTTTTGGATTTCCACCACTTTTTCAAAAAAATCTGTCATTATTATTTAAAACAGTGTTTATATATATTTTGTAAAATACAACACCTCTCTCCGTGGCCCCGACAGTGCTAGCTATTTTCAAAACTATAGATCTAGTTGTAAATAAATAATGTGTGTGTCTAGCACTCACTGAAATTTCCACGTTGTGATGTACTTCACGCACCTTGGGATCTATTTGAACCTTTTTAAAGAGCCGTTGACGGTATTGTAATGATACTGATAATGTTCACGATCACGTTGACCACACGGCTATTGTACAACGGGGTGCTGTCGAAGGCAAAACGGTTTTGGTAAATTCCACGTGATGGTGCACACGGGGGATGATTGCACAAGGGCGATGATGAGTCAGTGCTGGCTCTCGGACGTTTTGATGTGAGAACCGGACCACATGGTCCGCGGGTTTCAGCAATCGAACCCTTTGTTCGGCCGGGACCACGTCAAAGACGCCCTCTGGCTTTACCGTATTATACATTTATACGTGTAATGTAATACATACATACATACAACTACTAAACGCCAGTGTATATAGATATCATGCTCGTGTACACATTGTATACACTCGATGCGCACGGACGGCAGGCTTAAGTTCGACTTTTATCGTTGGAAACAATATACATCCATTCACACACACATTACATTCACAGACAGAAAGGGAGCGGCAAGAACGATTTGAGAGGTTCTAACGGTATAAAGCTGCTTAGCACTTATAATACATAATATATATCAGTGGAGTAAACAAGCGTTAATCTCTTTTTAATTTATTTCACCTCTTTGACTTTTAATTTCAACGGGAAAAAACCTAACGGATTAATCGAGTACATATATACATATTATAGTAAATAAAATGTACTACTTTGTGACTAACCGTGTCAATGTTGAGTAGTTATAGCTGTAAGGTGTACCTATAAACCAGGGACTAGCATGTCCATTATCTGACTTTTTTTTTTAAATATATAGGCATTTGTTCCTCCTTTACTATTAAAAAAGTATGTAAATTTTAAACTAAACAGAACAAAACAATTAAAAACTGCAATTTAAAATCTCAACATTTTGTTGGAATTTATCCTAATTGAAAATGTTACATAAATTGTTTTGCTGCATTACGATTTAAATAATAATGAGGTACAGTTAAATCTAAAAAATATGAAAAATCTAATTTTTTAATAATTCTTTTTAATTCGAAGTGAAAATTGAGTAGTTTTAACTAAAATTGTTTTAATTAAATCAAAGTATTGGATAGGAATTATCCGAAAATCGAAACTGTTTATTTTTATAATTTGTTTTAATTTTAAGGAGTTGATTTGGAGTGCAAAAATGTCAGAAGCTTCCTCGCCAATCGGCATACCACAATCCAACAGTCCTCCGGGCGCCTTATCGCTGTCACTGTCGCCGACTTGGGAAGTTTTGCAGGTATGACGCAAATACTTTAGTAATTTAAAGTTTAACATACAATTGACAAAACAAAAATACCAACTAGTGTGTTCACAAGTAATTAGTCACAAACTCTATTAAGGATAAAGCATACGCGGTTGTATTATAGTTTTGTGTTTAAATGGACCATGAAAAAAAAATGCATCATAGATTTACCATAATTATACAATTTGTACGATACAGGCATTAATCTATATTTAACTGAAAGTTATGGTACTTTTGAGTTTAGCTTTTCTCAGTTTATTTTTAATGTCTCAGCCACCTATAGTATACAAAAGAGTAAAGACTTAGGCGGTTAACCTAACCTTTTTACATCACTGTATATATATATATATATTTGTTGTATTAGTCTAAAATACTATATTAGTAGTATTAGCCAAAGAACTGGTGTGTTTTCACCAAACTAAAATCGGACCATCTTAAGTAGTCAAAAAAAATGTTGTCAGGCAAAAACACAAGTCTCTTTCAATGCCATCAAAAAGATCCGACGGGTAAACCGGTCATGTTGTTCGTCATAAAAGGGTAGCAATAATAAAACATACAGTAAGGGTAGTTGTATTATGCGACGAGGAGGGTTGACTTTTCGACTGCCCGCCTACTTTTCTGCGGGTGGCGTAAGGTGGGCCGTTTATCCAATGGGCTGTGATTTGAGATTATGAAAATGGCGTACACCACCGGGCAAATCTAGCCTATACAGGTGTGCTTAGCGTACTTACGGCTTTAGCATTATACAAAATGTGCATGGAGTATTATACTTTATTCTGATACACGAATAAATAATAAATTACATTACTTAAACCACCAGTTTAACACAAGACCCGCCCGTTTTCTGGGGAAATAACAGAAAAACAGTTAAAATTTTGTAGTTTGTCTTTTTTGAAACGTTCCCACTTGTGTTATTGTACGCCTGTTGTAGTTTAAAATTTAGAAAGGCAAAAAGGGTGGGGTGTACAGAATATTATTTTTATCCATTAAACTGCAATAAAAGTAATAATTGTACAAAACCGGTCGTCGAACCGTAAAAACTGTCAGCTAATTATTTTGAATTTAAAAAGTCAATTAAATACTTACGTTTGACCATTTGTGTTTCCAAAGTACTATGCATAGTGCTCTGGAAAATACCAAAACAAAAAAAAAGGTAAATATTAAGTAATCGAGACACTTATTAGAACAAGGGCCAAATTCGGGGTTTTTTGCAAAATGCGTTTTTCTTATACAAATTTTTTTATTTTTTTATTTGATATTGTGGTAGAATATTGTCCCACCCAGAATGCATACCGGAACATATAAGAAAACATAATTTTATTTTACTAGAAAAATTAGTGTTATTTTATAAACCAAAGTGAACCAACTGTGATCATAAAAGTCTTACAAAGTAAAAAACGGTAATAACTACTTTCAAATGTTGTAATATTCTCAAAGTTAATATTGTTTTCTATAATATGACTTTTATTTTTGTTTTTGTTTTTAAGCATGTTAATACAATATTGTGTATGGTATTAAATACAAATGTTTATATTTCATACACAGAACATGTGTTTTTTTTATTAAATAAACTTTCAATTTTAAAATTTTTGATTAGAACAAAAGTCCTATTTTATAACTTTTAAAAAATTCTTTAGACTAAATTAATATTTTATAAATTAAACCAACCCATTGAATGGTTTTCCATTGAATGTACCTAGAAAAATCGTTTTATGTGTCTCCTGGAAAAAAAAAACAAAATTAAAAACTGGGCCTTTGTTCTAATAAGCGTCTCAGTTTTATATTGTAATATACATTTAACCAAAATTCTGCATAATTGCAATTATTTTAAGAAAAAATTAGTGTCTATTATCCTTAACGAATCACGCACATACTGTATATTTAAATATATTACATGTATACAATATTTACAACATACATATTGCGTCACTGTTAGGAATTAGGATTACCAAAATATATTTAAGTTTAAACACACAAATATATTACACATAAAATATACAACCTACTGATTGCTATTGATCGTTCGCAGGAGACCACGGCTAGGTTGTTGTTCATGGCTGTCAGATGGGTCAGGTGTTTGGCTCCGTTTCAGACACTTTCCAAGCACGATCAGGTAATATATACTTGTATAATCTATAACGTCTAAGTAGTTTTTAAATTTATTCTATAAATAGCAACTGTAGTTATATGTATGTATGGCAAATACAAATTGTTGAATAGTGAAAAAAAAAAATACTAGGTATATCAATTTCAAACATTGAAAAACTCCTTAAAAAAGTAACACTAATTCCTGGTGAACTCTCGATACTCTTATATTTTTTTAGATTTATTTATCGCACATACTAGCTAAGTACCTACTCCTGAAACGTACAAACGTTTTCATTGGCATTGCTAATTATACATATGTATTATTTTAAAGCTTCGACAGCTTGGGCAAGACAATTTTGAGAGGATTTTTTTTTAACTCGGTTAGATCTTATACAATACAGATATTTGACATAAACGCGATTACCTACCAATTTTTTTACTTTTGTGCAGTTGTTGCTGTTGCAAGAGTCGTGGAAAGAACTGTTCTTGTTGCATTTGGCCCAGTGGTCCATACCTTGGGACTTGTCGCCGCTGTTGAACTCCGAGAAAGCCCGGGAAAGACTTCCGGCCGACGACCACAAGGTCAACAACGAGATGAAGATCATTCAAGAGATACTGGCGCGTTTCCGGCAGCTATCGCCGGACGGAAGCGAGTGCGGCTGCATGAAAGCCGTCATCCTTTTCACACCGGGTAGGTAAACCTATCTGTAGATGATGGAAGTATGTAAATATCGAATAAAAACCGTTGCAAAGAAAATAATGTGCTTGAATATGAACGAGCGAGTGGATAAAGAAGGTATTAACTGACAAATTCAAAACTGTTCAGGAGGAAACATTTTAGTCAATATACATTAAACTGTTATAATATTTTGCTAAATTATGTAATAATATATCCCAACACGTTTGTTCATATTTTACAACAACTGTCACGTCTTATAACAGCATTATCCACTCACCCCTTCAATTGTATTTAATTTGGTAGTGATGGAACTATAAAGATCCAGATTTTCAAAAAAAAAAAAAGAACGCTATTTTAGCCATTTAAAAATACACGATATTATTAACATGTACAATATTAAGCTGTGTATCCAAGTAAAATGTTTTTTTAACGCTTAACTTTGACGATAAACTGTTTTTTTAAAACAGTAAATCTTTTCGGTTTGTTTTTTTTTTCACATTCCCATTAAAAATGAAAATCGGGTTTCTACATAACCTGTTAAAGTAGTCAGAGAACTCTAAGCTCTTTACACAAAATTTGAAATCTGAAACTCGATTGATATGTTGGAAAATTATTAAAACCATTTATTCCCTAAATATTGCTTACATAAAACGCCTTAAAACCCGTCGGTTTTAAACCCCTTAAGGAAAAATATACAGCCCAAAGGCAACCTTGGGTACCTAAACACTTTAAAATTAATATTTTACATATTTTACCCCATTTTCAAGACGAATAGTCAGTTATGAGTTTACACAATTAGGTATAACTTATAAGATAGATGCAAGTAGCAATTTTGAATTATTAAATAAAAACAACATTGAACGTTGAACAAATGATTAATTGTCGCATACATTACCTACGTAATACATTAGCAATATTTGCAGCATAAATTCAATATGTTATAATACTACTAACAATAGTTTCCACACAAATGTTTAGTCAAAAGCTTAAATTGCTTAACATTTTAAAAATATTTCCAAAAAAATTATTCGGTCGGTTTAAACATCATGTCGTCTAGGTGGAAAAATTAAAAAAAAATATTTTAACAAACATTTGTCAACACAAAGTAACATTTTTGATAACCGTCAATTGTCAACTGAATCGTCAACTGACAAAATTGTCGACGTTGTTTTTCCCACAGAGACCCCGGGGCTGATCGACGCACAACCCGTAGAGATGTTGCAGGATCAAGCGCAATGTATCCTGGGCGATTACGTGCGAGGTCGGTATTCCAGGCAACCGACTCGGTTCGGTCGTCTGCTCCTAATGCTGCCCAATCTCCGGGCGGTCCGTCAGGCCACCATCGAACGGCTGTTCTTCAAGGAGACCATCGGCGACATACCCATTCAGCGGCTCTTGGGCGACATGTACCACATGGAAAAATCGTACGCATAACTAGAACGGCATCGAAAACATATTAATATCAATATTAGTACAATATTGTTATGCGTCCAAATCGCAATCAAGTCCTTTTGTTGGTTATCGTTTGGCTTTTGTGTTTTTGCAGCAAAACAAATACAATCGATTAGATCTGAAATGACAAAAGTTACATATTATTGTCTAAGTATTATTACATACAACTAGTTCTATAGTCTCTTGTTACCACATCGTATACCAATTTTTTCTTTGTTCAATTGACAGTTATGTAAATATTTTTTTTAAAATTGTATTTCTAAATGTAAAACAAAAATGTATATTTAATATTTATACACTTAAACTTTAAAGCACACGTTAGAGAAGTGCCTAGTCAAGATAAGTTTTTAGTCGAGTGCATTCTAGTGTGAAAACTACATGTTTAAAACTAAGTATTATACAATATTATATACTTATATTGCTTAAATTGTCGTAAATGCCTCTTAAATTATTATGTGGATCATACGATACGTTACTCATAAAAAAAAAAAAAAAAAATCTAGTCATTATATTATTATATTTATTTTGTATTTTTAAGTATTGTATAATAATAATTAGTAATTACTTTACTACAGTACGTTGGAAAATAAAAATAAATAAAATAACAAACTCGAGTGATTATTGTTTTTAAACTGTCCGTTTACGTGTCTGTATTGGGTTTAAGTTGGGGTAAAATTTTTTGGGGAAAAACAAACGATAGCAATATTTATAATAATAATTACAATATATTTACGACGTTTCACACGTGAAAAAGTACATTCGATGACATATCTTAAAAAAAAAATTCTAAAAAATAATGACAAGAACTACATGGTTTTTAAATCTATTCTTAATCAGCTTTGTTTCAATTAATATTTTATAATATTCAAAATAAAAACAGTTATAAAAAATCTAAAGGTCGCCCAGATCTACGCTTTCTACATAACAGTCGTTACTATTGTCTTTGTGGTTCGATTTTGGATCCTTGGACGCAGCACCGTTCAATGATTTATTGATTTTCGGATAATCCAATCGACCCCAAGACATTGCTTCGGCTTTTTTCAGTTTGATCTCCACTTTAGTTGGTAACATGGACACGACGCTGCTGTCTACATCCACAATCTAAACACAAATTTCATACGTAAATAATTAGTTTAATGTACGACACGATTATTAACAACGAGAGAAATTAATTTTATTACGCCGTATAATTCTATATTTTTGGCGAACACGGAATTTTCGGCTGGGAAATACAATTCAACGGACAGACCGACGGCAGACAATCGTACTACCGATTTGTTTGGATTGTACTTTTTGGCGAAAATCGATACTACCACCCACGGACCAGTCTGATGCCAATCGAAACGACAATTGGTTTGTCCTTGAGTTTTCTAAAATCATAAATAAAATCCATTTCATTGCTAATTGACCCATAACTGGTACAATGATAAGAAGCCAACATAAGATTTACATTGACAAGCGGCGTGTGAGACACCGCACCTTATCGGTTACGGGTCAACGGTTATTAAACAAATAGAGAAAATCATACCGTGTCTTTTATCCAGCAATGTTCTCCCTCGGAACACCCGGCTTGTTCCAAAAAAACATTGAAATCTGAAGTTTTCTTATTGCAACACGACCAATATTTCATGCCTTCGTGGAAAATCGGTACTCCGGGATGATTCTTACATGTTTTATTAACGGCTTTTTCGTTAGGACCTTCGTACGCCTAATTGTCAATCGTACATGTTTAACAGACAATATGTAGTTTATTATAAAGAAAAAAAAATCGTTCTATACCTGTTTACAGCCGTTGTTCTTACACATTGTGCCGACCGGCACGTCTGTTAGGTCGGTGGAATCACTCGCGTTGCTGCTACCTACGTTGAGTGCAGATATTTGTTGCAACAAATTAGGTGATACAGTTGGTTTTAAGCACGTCATCGGCGAGTCAGCCGGTGGTCTGGGTAACGACACAGGTTTTGGAGCGTGGTATTCAATCACGTCGTCCTTGGTATCCTTGTCAGGAACATACTTTTCGGGCTCTTTTGGTTTGGTACCGTTATGACAGCCTTTCGTGCAACCCTAAAATTACATCCAAAACAGCACTATAGTCGTAAGGGTATATGTTGTAATCATCGAGATTAACAATGTTTTCTTTTTTAATTTTAATTAATTACTTTTATATTGAGGAATTCGGTGAAATCCGTACACTTTTTCTTGCAGCAACTCCAGCCTTTGTAGGCGTCGTGGAAAAACGGTTCGCCAGGATGAAAGGTACAGGAGCCTAAGGCAACAATAAAACGTCTCATTTGTATGATATCCGTGTGATAAGTATAAACTAACATACAAAATTAATTGTTGGGATAATAGTAAAACAACAGATTAGGGAAAAGAAAAAAAGAAATCTTTTTAATTAGGTTTTTTATGCTTTAGTATGCGTGGCTAGGTTGAAAAGTAGACTAATCTAGTCATAGAGTTTGATTTTTGAAAGTCGAATGGAGAGCAACGATAATTCAAAAATATTTTTAAGCAATGTGTAGGTATTTGATTTATAAATTCATCAATTGTATAACGACGAATAATAATATGTTGGGTTGATATTTAATGTTTTTACTGTAAGTATTAAGTTCTTAAAAAACTCACAATAGATCTACGATCCACAACATACAATTTTGTACCTATTCAGAACGATGAAAATATTAACATAAATTTATTATTCAAATTAATTAATGACGGTATAAATGCATTACCTTCTGGGTTTTTGTTTGGATCAAATTTTAAGGTACATCCGCGATTATAACACAGGATCAAATCGCCGTTGTTGGTCATTGTCTTAAATTACTTGACGAATAAAAATAAGTGTTTATAATTTATATTTCCAATTATCGTTTTTACAATATTATTATTAGTTTGTACAAAGAATAAGTGGAAAAATTCAATTTTGCAAAATAGAACGTGATTCGTGATTCCAAATTGATAAGCGGTTTTTTGAAACTGATAAGTGGTAAAACCAGTGTAGCCAAGAGACAAATAATTTATATCCCCATCCTCATTGAAAAATAAAAACAAGCAAATTTCGCATTTTGAACTTTTTTTAATATTTTACATTTTCTTTATTTCATTCACAATTATTACTATATTTATTTTATAAGTTCTCAAAGCAACACAGGAAAATCAAATTATTCTGTTATTTTCAAAATAAAAAAAATTACAAAATTGTATTTACCTATTTCGAGATATAAAAAATAATTAGTTTAACTTTTTAATTTTACTGACTAGTCTAAATGAAATAATTCTGCACGACAAGAACGACAAATAAACATTAAATAAAAATAAAACTAGCTTAATACTATAAAGTTCAACGTAACGTTACAATCTTGTTCGGATTTCCAACGATCAGTTTCGACACAACCGTATTCAAATTGACAATCGGCGGCATTTAAATTAAACAATTCTGAGTTGGTTAATATGGCTAAAAAAAAAAAATTAATAAGTTTTATTTGGATGATGCATTAAAATTACAATTTAAATACACACTTAAATCAAGGATCCGTTTGAACCCAAATACAATTTGCTCACCGACAAAACATTTGCATTAGGGCGTGCTTGATTTTGACTAAAATAAAAACAAAATAAAATTGTTTTAAGTATTTAAATTTAACTCGACAATAATAAAACAAATTTTTTTTCTTTAATAACAAATTGTTTTAACATCATTTTATAACTATGACTGCTTTCTGAGTTGCAAAAGTGGTGAACAGAGGATTGGCAACGAGACGTTTATTTTTGTTTTGAGGTGTTGATCTATCCGATAGATTACACATTGGAAGAAGAGATAAAATTAAATTCTTAGGTTGCATGCTGGACCTTTTGAGATCCCTTAAGTTTCTAAGTTAAGTCAAATCGAAAATACATTTTTAGGATTTTAGGTAAAAATAAATACCGTGAAAAAAAAATTGTACACAAAATTATTTTGTTAAATATTTACCGACCTTTTGCATGTCGATGAAGACCCGGGAGTTTGCATTCCAGAACCTGTACTCACCGAGGACAGGGACACGTTACTCTGATGATGATTGTTTTTCCTTAAATTTTTGATACACAATATAGTTTTAATAATGTACTTAAACACGTTTGGCTAACACTATTCTGTTTGTTGTAGGCATTAATACCTGTAATTCATGTCTGGCTGTTTGAACACTACATCGTTACAACTATTACGATGCCTCGCGTCCTCTTTGATCAGCTTAAACGGTGTTGAGTTCATTTGAAAAATTGGATTTTTATCTTGCGTATTTGTCAGTTCAGGAAACATAATATTATTACCGTTCAAAGCTCTTGGACAACATGAAAAAAATATTATCATAATATTATGTTATTGTAGTAAATAGTATTTTTTTTATAAATCACCAACATACTTTTTGGCAATCTCCAATTGATTTTCAAGTTTTTTTATATACATTTTGGCTCTGTTGTATTTTAACAGCTAAACAAAAATAAGCATACCTGTTAATCCGCAAGTAATAAAAATAATTCTTTTACTCGGTACTTACGATACGCTGATGGTGGGCGACTAATTTATTCTGGTGAGCTTTTTGAAATTTCATCACTTGTAATAGTTTTGTGCACACATTGTTTGGTTCCTGGAAGTACTCCAATACCTGGCGATTTGTCTGAAAGGCCTGCGGAACAAATACTAAGATTATTATCGAAGAAGATAATATAATAATAGGCTTGGTTTATTGGTATTTTTTGATTAAATAAATACCTTATCTCCAATAGTAGTGTATGAACAATTGCTTTTACATTCTTTGCATTTCTTTGAGGTACCTAAAAAACAAGCAAATTTTACCGAAAATCGAGTTAAATCTTGGAAAACCCATTGAGACACACTTACTGTCTGTAAAACAACCGCAGGTCTCACAAAATACATGACCGCAAGTTGTGAGGAAAAACAATTTGTTTGCAACGTTTTTCGGGTTGGGCTGAACGAAACATGTATTGCAATGAATCCAGGCCATATTGTCACAGATTACTCTACAGTAAGCTTTTTACTCACTCTTTTTTAAGATTTTGTTAAATTTAGTATAAGTATTTTACAAAAACACTATTGAAAATTTTGAAAATTATTGCCAAGCGGACAGTGTTTACTGTTTCGCCATTTGTTAATTTTATATTTCGTCGGAAGCAAGTGCTGCCAACTTAATTACGGCCACGGACATTAATACTAACATTACGCTTACTTTTATTATTACATTTTTTTTAAACAATTAAATAAGCGATTTTTAAATCAATTATAGCAGTCGGTGGCCGTTTTGGATATAAAATAACGATCAATGATTCAACTAGACAAAAGTAGTAAGCAAATTAGAAAACAGTCGGTAGATCAACCTCAACAGACAATTTAAATTTTAGCAAATGGCGGGAAAAAACCCAAACAAATTATTATTTTTTTTTTTAATGTTGGTATATACGCTTAAAGTTCTCATAGATTGGACTTGTGCGATTTTCTTAAGTTTCTGAAAGGTTAAACATTTTTCATAGTTTTACCCGAAAAATCCAAAAAAGTTTCAAACAAAAGTGGAAGATAATTTTGACTTCTCAAAAAAGTTGTCGGTCTACCAGTTTGAATAATTTTCTAAAATGTATTTCTAATTGAGTTTTGTGTTTTATAATTTTCTTTGCTGAATTAAATAAATGATCTCGGAATTAACGAACAATTTTTAGTTTCTATACACAAAACACAATTTAAGAAATTAGAATTTTTCTTTTTCGAGACGTTTACCTAAGTCTAACCTAACAAAGGAAAATCCAATTAGAATATCCATCGCATTTAAGTAGTTCCTACCTTGTTTGGTCAATATTATTGACTCAAAAATGTCACACCAAAAAAATGTACAAATTAAGGTGTACTATAATATAGTAAAAACAGTCCAACTGCTACTAAACTACAATAAGAAACCAAGGCATTACCAATAACTCTTTCTCCCAGAAGGGATAGAAACTTTTTTCCTTCATTACTCTCTTTTAGGTGTAGCCAGGGGATACAAATAAGGGGGACTAAAGAAGCTGAATCCCCCCCTCTTATGTACTTAAACTGTACGCAATAAAGAGTATATTTATGTTTATTTTTTTATAATATAATATATTAAAATATGTATTTTTTTTTTACTATGTAAACTGTAACTCTATGACTATTTATATGAGTTTGGAGTGAATTTTTTTTCTAGCCCTCCCCCCTTTTTTTTATTCACCCCTGGGTATAGTTTTAGGACATAAGATCTGAAAATTAGATCCGAGGAAGATCTATAGTGCGACTAAGACATGTACAATTTTTCTTAATAAATATGTTATCAAACATGTATTTAGTATTTGAAATTATTCTGGTCAGGTAGCACTGCAGAGAGCCTTCCTATTCCTACATTATTGAATATTGTCACTGTATCTTTGTCATCAGACTTGCTGATTATACATTTGTATAGATTGTAAATAAAGAAAATTGTTTAATAAAAATATATAAATAAATAGGCATATAGGTACACTTGTATGAATTTGTTTGATTTATTAAAGGGTTATAACATAAGACTCGTATAATAAGAAAATTTATAGATTTTAATTTCCATATCCATCGGCCGGAAGCACTAAAATTAGTGATTAATTATCTATGTATTGGTTTGAATTAAAACAATGAAACAAGCATAATTTGTTTTAATTAAACTTTAATTGACTTCAGTTAGAAGATTTTTTCGATTCGTAATATTTTTTAAGATCGAAGAATGATTGCTGAACGGAGAGGAATATTATTTAATTAATTAAACAATTAACAATAAATATTGAAGAAAAAAAAGTAGATAAGATATTATACTACAAGTAGTTACAAATATAATAATTTGTTTAAGTTTACAATACAATATTATGAACATAATAAAAGTACTCGAAATACTTGGCTATAATATAATATGAATACTTCTTAAAGTTACTGTACTATTCTACATAAAAATGGCAGTTACAGATAATACAATAATTATTATTATCATCAGTTTTTATATAAACGTACAAAACCTTGTTTTTTGTTTGACTTAATTAAACTGTTTTAAATAACAATAGACATGAAAAAACTACTATTCTTAAAAATATCAGGTATAAAATGACAAGTTTAAGTACCTATACAAATCAAAACGATTACGGATATTGGTTCTTTAATTTATTTTTCATAGTAGAGCTTTGACGTATTTTATGCACTTTACAAGTTTTTATTAATCGAATATCATTTTTAAAAACAATTTTTTTATTTAAGAGTAACATTTGACTTAGTTTTAACCGTCATTTGAAGGAAAACGACCAAAATAATGCTGTTCAACAATACAATTTCTACTTATTATTATGCTATAATCGTATAATTGCATTTAGAATGGTTTCTAGGTCTAAAAAAACTGACCAACTGATTTCTATATCGAAAGTCAAACGACCGGATAACTACTGCTATGATATTACAATAATTAATACAATTATCCAAACAGCATTATACTACTCTGCCACATTGAACCTATAGTATATATAAATTCCAAAACAGCAGCTGCTAATGTGACTATCATCGTTCAAATAAAATTAAAAAATTTCTTCACAACTTAAACCACCCACTTTGGTCGTCTTTCATCTTCAGCAATTCTTCCAATGCGAACGATCCTTTTCTGTAGTTGCCGTTGTCGAAGGATTTGCTGTGTAAAAAAAAAAAAAAGAACTTTACAATCATTGTCAATACTTGTAACATAATATTGTTCGTCTCATCTCAGATAAATGCTCATCTTTCTTACCCTGACTGTATCTTACCAGGGGTTCCTTCCTAATCCTATCTAGTCACAACCTAGCGTTGTCTTTTTGTATCTAATCCAACCGTTAGGTCTTCAACAATTCCCTCATTCGCTTATGTTTAATCGGCAAGCAAGAAAGTAAATAGGTTTTCCGCTACTAAACTTACTCCGTTTTAGACCTAAGTAATTCTTAAGCCATGCTACAGGATTCGAAGCGACTTAGATACTCACATGGACGTCCTTGCCGAGGAAACTGTAAGTCTGCTCATTGGATAACTGTGCCTGGCCTTGACCTGTTTTTTCTGCTGTCTCTTTTGTTGGAGCCACTTGTAAAAAATTTTCTCGTTTTCCGCCCGCCTCCTTTGTTCTTCTTCGGTTCTTTTTTGCCGCGCCTCCTTCCTCCGACGTTCGCGATCCATTTTCAATCTACGTCTCTCCAATAACTGTTCGGCGGACAGACCGTACTCCGACCTGAGACCGTTGTATCCCGGCAGTCTGGACCGTTCACTGCCGCCACTGGCCGACGCCTGTGCTTGTTGCTTGGCGCAGTCTGTCGGTTTTTTTTTAATCACCAACTTGGCGCCCTTGTTGCCCGCGTTGTCGGTGTGGAACTCCAAAAACAGATCGGCGTTTGGCGTTTTCGCCGGCCGCTGGATCTTGCAGCTTGCGCCCGTCTTGTCGGCGGTGGCTCCGTCGCCGTCCTTTGCCGCCTTCAGGTTGATGTGGAAAAACTTGGCGGATTTCGTCGACTGCTTGCCGTCGCACGGTGGCGCGCTGTTCTTGTCCAGAGGTTTCAGTTTTCCCGTGGTGTCCAGCTCAAAGTAATACGCGGACCGCGGCTTGCCCGTGGCCCGGACGCCGCCGCCGGACCGGTCGAACGCGGGCGGCACCACGGCGGCGGCGGCGGCCTACCGGGATCGGGCTTCTTGGCCGCCGACTTTCTGGGGCCGTGGTTCTTTTTGCCCGCCGGCTCTGCCGGTTTCCGTCGCCGCCGTTCCTTGCTCACGTCCTTCAACCTGTTCCTCAGTTCTTCGGCGTCCAACTTTTTCGGCACGTATATGTTCACTTCCGCGTCGTCCGTCGTCTTGCCGCCGTCCGCCGAGCCGTTGTCGTACAGTTTGTACTGCGAGTGCGTGAACAGTTCCGGAAAGTACGCCACTTGTTCGTCGATGGCCGGCCCCCCTTGGCTGTTGCCGCCGCCGCCCTTGGTCTTGTTCATGATCGTTTCGAATTCGTCGCCGGACTCGATCATGTTGACGAACGGCGGCGGATCGTCCGAGTCGGACGAGAAGCTCCGACTAAACGACGCGCTCGACATCAGCGCCTTGTCATCCGCGTCAGTGCAGCCATGTTGTTGTTGGAGGTCCGTGGTCTGTTTGTCCGAGGTCTGGCGGACGACCACGTCGTTTTGGTCGTCTTCCTCGGCACCAGGCACCAAGTCCACTTTGGCCACGACCGTTCCGTTTTCTTCGCCGGCTCCCTCGAAACCCGTGTCGGAACCGTGAAGCCTCTCCGTGCCCACCGACACAGTGCCTGTTTCAGTGCAGAAACCAAAACAAACAATTAAACTTTTAACGTATTATCAACGAGTATGTGATAACACAACATGGTATATTATCACATGGAACATCTGTAAGCACAAACAAGTAGACAATTGATTATTATTGATAAGGTTACAAGATTAAGACCGTCAATAGTAAAAATGCACTTGTGGGACCTCAAATCGTCGTATTACTCGCAGAGATCTTTACAGAGAATGTCTTCTTATTCTTGCATTAGTGCCATACAAATGGAATAAGACAGCCAAATACTCTCTTACCACAAATCTCTAACACCACCTAACCTAACCCAACCTCTTCCAGTGAGAGTTTAGAGGAGTTTATCAGGGGCAGCAATAAGCACATATTTGTTATTTTAATAAATTTGGATAAACTTACAAATGATGCTTATAAGAGTAAATTTGGGAATGAATAGTCCGAGATCTTTTGGCCATAGAAAAAGGAAGGAAAACGGATATGAATGATTCTTGTAAAGACCTGTGGAATAGATGGAGAGATAGTGAAATGTGGGAAAAAATAGGATTTTGATGGCCGACCCCATTTGCATGGGATAAAGCGATGAAGAAGAGACTATGAATTGGACAAATATTTACTGAATCTATAAGCGGTATTTCAGTTTGTGATATTCCCACAAAATTAGCTTGTGGTGAAAGGGTCGATGTATAGTAGAGACTTAAGTTTAAGATCTTCTGAAGGTCTACACCGCGCTTAAAGTAGATATACGAGTACCTATGTCGTCGAAGCTGTCCAAAACCACTACGGTGTTATCGAATTTGACTCTTGACGATACGCTGGCCGGTAGCACTTGGTCGGTGTCGATTTGCAGTTGTCTGTTGGCTTGATCCATTTTCAACCGCAAGTCATAAGGTCGTTGGGTCGGTTTCAACACGGTGCCAGAAGTGAAATAAATCTCTATAAAAACCGTACACAGTAGATTTAACAGTGGCTGGATCAGCCAGTAGAATCAGGGAGACAATTGACCCATTTTTTTTAAAAAATACTTGCTTATAAAATTTTCTTCGTCGTCCTCGTCCCGTGCATTAGTGCCGTTCGATTTCGACGAGTTAACTGTTATCGCAGTCGATTTTGAAGTGAATTTCGAAGTTTCCGTTGAGTACTCACGGTGGTCGCCGTCGAAAACACTTGAACAGCTATTATAATTACTGTACTCGGCGGCTGATCCGTAAACGTCAAACGGTAAGACCATATTATTCTTCTCGCCGTCGTTTTTTCCAATGTTGTTTTCCATTTTGCCCTCGCAACGCGTCGCCTTTATATAATATACAACAGTAATCATTATTGTCGACATTTTCAATTAATAAAAAACAATTTTTTCACATAAAAAAGCAAAAAATGAACTCATATCTCTTTACAGAATTGAAACCGGACCATCCTAAGTTGCTTTCAATTCAATGGATCACGAACGGCTTATGATCAACCGTTCAATCTCTTCTGCTGATCATCTCTTATCAGTTATCGAGGGATTACCGATTTCCCCTAATCACCATCCCATACCCACCCTATCCAAAATAAATACAATATCCTACCCTGCTTATTATTCTTTTTCATACCTATGATATTTAACTGTTTAATAAATAGTTGAATTAGTTTCAAACTCGTATAAAATACTTTTTGGTCACAACACTATCGATATACCTTGGAAAAATGAAAAAATATCAAAAACCTAGAAAAGGTAGTTTTCTTTATTTTTAGGTTCAACGACGCCATGGTTTAAAATTAGACGGTAGATCTAAAACGGCGCTATATCATATTATACAGTTTTCTCAAAAATCTATAATTCAACTTTTTTTTTTATTGAGTGAGTGAATTAACAGTCAACACGTATTTGATAATATTACAATATACGGATAAGAGGTTGTTATAGATAGACGTCTAACTCTATTAGTGTCCACCATAAAATTAACATAAAAAGTTTTAGGCACATTATTGCCATTACAACGTTTACATCGATATTTATACATAACATATTCGCATCGAAGCGTTTATTTGAAAGTGATTTTATCACCTTTTGTTGTAATAATTCTTTTAGATTTGCGAGCTGTAATATATATTTGAACAAATCAAAATTGACTACTAAATAATATTATTACACAAAAAAACTAGAAGCTTTTGGTTTTTTTTAAACATATATTTGAATTCTTAAAGGTAATTAATAATTATAAAATGAAATTTTATAGCTGTATATATTTAGTAATTTTATCAAATGCGAATAAGATAACTGTTAAACGAATAACTGTTGTGGCTTTGTTGGCTAATGATGTGTTTCGAGTTAAGTGTCTGTTGGATTTTCAATTATATTGGAATCTGTCCAATCTTCGTTTTGTAGTATGGTTTTGTTAAGATTATCTTAGAACTTCGTACGGTTAGTCCTTAATGCTGGTTGTTTTCAGTATGGGATCATACTCAAAGCCAAGAGGGGTCGCGTCGAAACCGGTTACATGCACCCCAACGAATGTATTCAAGTGCTGTTGTATTTCCTTTACTGTGACGATGGGCGGATTTGATGCGGCCAACGTCTGGACCATTTCCGCAGCTACGAAAATGCCGTCGTCAACCTGCGAAGTCAACCGGCAAAAACTTTTAGAGAATCCACGCAAGCTTTCCAAGGCGATGTCCATTACATGTGCGGTGCACTCAATGAGTGTATCGCGATTTCGTTTGTCGAGAGATCTGCTGTCCAAAGTCAAGCGGTCGTAGTACCTCTTGAAGTTGTCCACGACCCGGGACACGTTTCCGGCGAAAGCTGGTGAAAACACGAAAACATTCCTTGCAACCGCATCATCAATCCGTCGATTTCGGCGATCATTTCCCAAAAGACACGCACGCATTCCGTCGATTCGGATTCGTCGACAATTTTCGCACACTGTCGCCGCGCTGCGCCCACGCCATAATCGTAACACTCTCCGATCACGTGCACATACCGACAGCTCATGAACTGATGCGTCTGGCGGATTTTGCGATGCACGTTGTCGCAAGTGGCTATTTGGCGGCCGTCGTCGCTGTCCGTCGCTAGTATGTCGGCCATGTTCAACACTTGCGACGCGCCGGCGGTTCCCGTCCGCTGCACCACTATAGCGGTGCCGTCGGATTCGGCCAGCGTCGGCCATCCGGGATAAGTGAAAATAATTTTATTCATGGTGTCCACCGCCGGATCCAGTTCTGCCAACACAGCGTGCACGTAAAGCGTTAACAAATAACAAACACTAAAAGGTCCGGCCAACGTTTTTACACACACACATCTATGACTTGAGCTAAAAAAAAAGTACAGGCTTGACTGAAAAACGCACACCGACGAGATTGGCGAAAGCGGGGAAAGAGAAAATAGACACGTATCGCGTTCTTACTGGGTCGTATGCATTGATTTCACAAAAAAATATTACACGGATGAGCCGCGCTGGACGCAAAAACGGCCGCCGATTTCATGCGGGATTCCCGCTGGCAACGAAGGTACCCTCGTCTTGGTTACCACCCGCCCGTTCGTAAACTACGGCGGGGGTACCTCCGTCGCCAGCGGGAATCCCGCATGAAATTGGCGGCCGTTTTTGTGTACGGCGCGGCTCATGTGCATATTATATGAAAATCAACGCTATCGGAGTCGCTGCTTATTTACCCAGATGTAGCTTTGTCAAGTCGAATAGCACAAAACCGTCAAACGTAATTAGTATACGAAAAAAGATATTATTTTAACCGATTATTAAAAAAAAAAAAAAACCGTAGTAACGTCAATAACGTACGATTATGGTTGATCGCCTGTCAATACTGATTTGTCGACGTTATTACCTATCTGTCATAATAATTACTACAATCAAAGTGTGATTTACAATATTTTTTTTTTTTAATGGTTGACTACGGATTTGGAGGGGTCAACTTTTTACATTTTTCGCCTAATTTAATACCTTTTAAATATGATTTTTGATAATATATAGACAGAAATAAACCGGTTCAAATCAGTGGCCAAGTGTGTTCAGAAGGTATGTCCACATCAATAGAGTACCATGCAAATTGCAACTATTCTGGAATTATATCTGAATTATACCCAAAGTTTAAGTTTTTAAAAACAAAATTGTCCTACCAAGTGTGCACTTTGAAACAAAATAATTGTTATTATAACCCCGTATGTGTTTTCTATTAATATGTATTATTAATTGTAACAATTTTTTAAATGAATTGTATTCGTTTACAAAATTGATACTTATAAAACCATTTAAAAGTACATCGACATCAAGGCTTTTTTGGCGTAAAAGGTAAAAATAAACCCCACTAAAGCCTGACAAATAATACAAGTAACCTAGTAATATTATTTCAAAGAGTTGAAAACTACAAAAAAAAAAATAACAACTAAAAAGTACACAACAACAGCTAAGCTTACCATTTTGTAGATTCTTTTGGACAATTTTACAATAACAATATATAGATGTTCTAGTATTCGCGTTTAGTCGGTTTATAAACTATAAAATATGTAAATTACTCTGAATATTATAAAACAGATCATGTTAGGTAAGTAACTATTGAATAATAATAAAAAAATATATAACTATTGAAACGCTGAAAATAATATTATTGCTCAGACAAGAATGAATAATCGTTACCGAAGACACGGTTACACACCCAAAGAGGTGTTTGAAGTAAAAAAAAAAAATCTATAAAATACTATAATAACACACGCCTACAAGGTATTGTTGTATATATATATAGTTATTAAACAACATGAATTGAAAATAGTATAGTGAAAATATAAAATAACAAATAATAATAAAAGGTAACAATTTGGTTTGGACGGCACTGGCTGTTTATCGGTGTTGTCCGGGTAACGCGCCGGTCGATGGTAGACGGGCGACAGGTACGCCGGTCCGTCCGCGATAACGAGCGCGATGGCCGCCGCCGCCGGGCTACCGTACGCCGGCGGCCATGTTGTGAGAACCGTGATACCGCGGACCGCCGACTTACCTGTCGCTCCGTTGTCGCGGCGTTTGCCACACTGCGGATATTATGATTTTTTTCTGTTGAATGTTGACGTTTGGTTTGTTTACATCCTACGTGTATCACCGGAAGTCGTGATTAAACGCCAAATAGGTGTACATACTATAGTTTTTTTTTTTGGTTTTCCAAAGTTCAGCTTGCCACACACACAAATTTTTGTTACTTGGTATTATTGTTTCAACGACGATGCCCACAGCGGCCACGGCCAGAAGTCGCAGAACGCACATCCTATGACCCAAACCGGAAGGAAACAGGTAAAAAAAAATTATTATTTCAGTTTTATTTATGATTTTACACCAAAGGCTCGAGTACTACAGTGATAAAGTGTAACAATAAAATATATACAATATTAAGTTATAATAGATATAATAGTGAAACAAAAAATTGTGTTAACAAAACATAAAAAATTAAATAAACATTTCAAAATGATTCAACAAGTACCTACAAATTGATAATATTCGAATAACGGCTATGATAATGTGCAACGTGTTTAGATCGAAGGATTATCAGGTTTTTAATAAAAATCGAAACAAGAGTTTTACGAGATCAGATTGAAAAATTGGAACTGGAACGAGAAAAGTATCGGCAAACGCGGACTTAAAAGCTGAGGACAAGAAATGTGACCATTTAATAGCTTGTACATAAAATAAACATCAAAGTAATGGCGTTTCCTAGTTAAGGGATCATAGTTAAAACTATAGTGATAGGCTTTGTGTTAGTGTTTTTTTTAAAAGATGAGTAGCGTGAAAACCTACGTTGTACCTGCTCCAATAATTCTTCTAATAATATAACATAATTGGCAAGAATTCTATTTTTTTTTGGTGTGGAAAATTATGGTACCCTTCAGTTACTTAATGTGGCCTTTTTTCCAAGAATAAAAAATGTTCATATCAAAACAAATTAAATATAAATATATAAAGCATTTAAATTAGTTTTTTCTCAAATGATGGTTCTGTTTTAGACCAAATACATTTAATGTATAAAAAATTACATTAAAATCAACCAATTAACCAATTAAATATTGTCCAAATTTATTGTACTGAAAACAAATAGCTACATTTTGTTTTTAAAATTTGTTCCATGATTTTATTTACGTTCTGAATTAATATATTCAAATATTTTTGCGCACCTCCACATTATAATTATTGTATTATTACAAATAATGTTATTTTTTTTTCTAGATTATTTCATGTTATTATTACCCGTCGAACGCAGAAAAATGATGTCGATGATGTCGTCCAGTAATAGCGCTTTGGCCGTGTCTGTATTGGTGGTTTTGAGTATCGCCCACTCGGTTTACACGGAAGAATCAAAATGTCAGACTTACGCCGACGGCACTGTGTTTCCGTCGAGCTCTGCCGAGGCGACCGGCCACAAGCTCCAATACACCAAGGCTCTAAGTATGTCGCGACAATTCAGTATCGGCCCAGAACGCGATTACAATGCGCAATCATGGTTCGGGATAATAATATTTGTACGTTTTTTTTAAAAATTTATTCGCAGTATCGAAACCGGCTCCCGACTGGAAAGGAACGGCCGTAGTGGACGGCACGTTAAAAGAGCTAAAACTTAGAGACTTCCGCGGAAAGTACTTGGTGTTTTTTTTCTATCCGTTAGACTTGTAAGTTTTTATTATTTATAATTGTTTTGACGATTATTTAAAACAAACGATTAATTTTGCGCTGTGATTTTAGTACGTTTGTATGTCCGACGGAAATATTGGCTTTCAACGACCGCATTGACGAGTTCAGACAAATCGGCGCCGAAGTGGTCGCGGCTTCGGTCGACTCTCATTTCACTCATTTGGCGTGGGTCAACACTCCGCGCAAAGACGGAGGACTCGGCAAATTGTCTATTCCTCTGTTGTCGGACATGACCCACAGGATATCGAAAGACTACGGCGTTTACCTGAGCGACGTCGGCCATTCGTTGAGGTATCGTTAAACGTTATTTTTTTTAATTAAAAAAAAAAAAAATACTCAACGGGGTTTGGTCCAATAAATAATTTTGTTAATCCTCCGTTCTAGAGGATTATTCATCATAGACAACAAAGGCGTGCTGAGACAGATCACGATGAACGATTTGCCGGTCGGACGTAGTGTCGACGAAACCCTGCGGTTGGTACAGGCGTTCCAGTACACGGACATGCACGGCGAAGTGTGTCCGGCCAATTGGAAACCGGGCGAACAAACGGTAGTGGATTTTTTTGTGGCGACCTGTCGATAACCGTTGGGGTCGTATGTCAATGATAACAATATTTTTTTTATTGATAATTATCTTTTCTCTAGATCATTCCCGATCCTGTTAAGAAAAAAGAATATTTCGACAAACTCAACGAACTATAAAAGAATTTTAAGAGATCTCGAAATCACATCACATCACGGCCAAGACACAACGTTTGAGAGCACTTATGACCTATGTTATATAATATATATATATATTTATTTTTTTTTTTGTTATAGTATATTATTGATAAGTTTATTTTTACAGTAGAATAATTAACAATTATTTCTACTTGTTATTTGTACACAAATGTGTATACCTACGAATTAATTAGTGTTAATCGCCGTAAAAGGTATAAAATAGAATTATTATTTTAAGTGAATAAATAATAAAAATAAATGCACAATGTCCTGTGAAAATATCTTATAATTTATAATTTTCGAGTAAAAAAAAAACGCATTTATTTACAAAAAAAAACAAGTGTTCATAGTTTTCCATTTATACAAATACAATATTTTTCACAAGTTTACTTAACTGTCGGTGATTTTTAAACATTTTTTTTTTTTTTGTTATCGGACACATTCACTACGGTAGTACAATAAACAATAAACTGACAATTTTACACAAGTGACGAGATACTATTTGAAACCGTAATATTATTATTTTTATTTAATCTGTACGAAGTTCGATCGTGACTAAAAAAAAATAACGTTGCAAACAAAATATTAAACGCCAAAGGTATAATAAATTTGCAATTGTTATTTTTACTTTGTCAAAATACACATTCAACGTAAAACCTCTCTTGCACGATTTCTGTTATACCGTGTCGTACCAAAAGTGTAATGTGACTTGAAAATCAAACGAGTTCACATATTATGTGTGTAAATACATTATTTTTAATTTACATTTATCGACAAAATAATTTGTTTTATAACAATACGGTGCGAGAAAGGCTTTGCGGTCGAGATAAAAAAAAAAATCACAAGCAAATTTACCGTGCAACGGTTTGTCCGATACTTTTTTTTTGTTCGATACTTATATATATATTATTTATATGTATAAAAAAAAAAAATATGTTTTATCGTTTCAAAAAAACGTTTCGAGATCAGAATTATTATTTTTCGAATAACCGAAAAGTATATAAGAACATATTATAATATTGTGTTAACCTAACCGTTATTTTTCATCATACGTTAATGACATATATTTGTAATAATATACTACAATCAAATATATAGGGTGTAATGTAATACAGGTCAAATAGTTGTACAATATAATAATTTATGTAAGTAATTTACAACAATATAATTGATTTTGTGTCAGGAAGAGAGAGCTTTCACAGAATTTGTTTGCCAGTGGGTTCTGCCGATTGCTGCTTGGGGGGCGTCCGCAAGAGATAATATCATCGTCGAGTCCAATAACAGATATGAGGAGATAATGGAATACATAATTTAGATTTCAGATCATCTCGAAGCCACTTTAGGTGTGTTGTTATCAACAATACAATATTATCGGTCGTGTAAGATAAATAATTATCGGACAATAAATCTTCTCTTATATTCGTTTTGTCGTCGCAGGTTCATGTCTCTGTGCCTCATAACGTGAGCGTAGCGTTGGCCGCGCCGCCGCCGTTGCCGCCGGCCGGCCACGCCACGGACGCCCACGCGGGTCATATGCTCAACGACGGCCGCTTCTTCCGGTCGCGCTTGCTGCTGTTCTTGCCGAATATCGTGCCCAGCACCTTGGACACGCTGTTGACGCCCAGCTTGCGCCTGATGGGCAGCCCGCGGAGCAGCTGGACGGCCCGGGTCTCGCGCAACAGCGAGTGGAACGCCAGCGAGACTCCGGCAAAGTTTTCGGCGGCGCTCACCTCGTAAAACTGACACCCGAACCGCAGCGACAGCTCCTGTCCGGCGTCCACCGCCACGCACCTGCAACATACGGGGCAACGCACGATTAATAATGTTATTAATTAATTAATTACAACTTTTAATATTCGCTTGTACTCGATAGCTTTGGGGCGGGGGGGGGGAGAGCTCGGGACATTAAAAACCCTTAAAACTTTAAGTCGGTGCTGTTTGTCAACCTAGAATATTTTTTAGTTTTTAGAGTTCTTTTTTTCTGTACAATTACTAATAACCCCCCTCCCAAAAAAAAATTTGCCCGAAAAATGTTGACCCTCTTTGACTCCTTGCAAAAAAAAATATTTATAAGACAATAACTCAATATTAAGACACCGTTTTGCTTTTTCCTCGCTCTCCACTAAATACCCACTCATTAATTGGCCAACTTTAAAAGAGGTTGGTTGGGTTAGGTTAGGTTCAAAAGGCGTTAAGGATATAGCTGATGCATTGTCGCCTCTGTTTAGGATAGGTTTGGTTAGGTTAGGTTTGGTTGGGTTAAGTTAGGTTTGGTTACGTTAGGTGAGTTCAAAAGGCGTTAAGGATATAGCTGATGCATTGTCGCCTCCGTTTAGGTTAGGTTTGGTTACGTTGGGTTACGTTAGGTTTGGTTGGGTTGGGTTAGGTTCAAAAGGCGTTGAGGATATAGCTGATGCATTGTCGCCTCCGTTGAAGACCGTTCGTTGCACAATTGCTCTGATTCTATAATTTATACAATCGTCACGTCTTTACCCTATACAATTAGACACATAATATGACAAAGGTGTCGGTGTAATTGAATATCCATATATTTTTTTCTTCCGAACCACAACTGGCCGAAGAGGAAACACAATAAGACAATGACAACAACAACGACGGCGGGGGTTTCGGTGCGCGACCAAATAGAAGAGCGCAACAAGTGTCACCCACACACGTTTGTATAATATAATATTGTTATTACTTATTACATACGGCGTGGGGAAAGACGAGATTGGTCGTTTATTAAAATCACTATCTACCGGTGGGTGGGTTAGGGGGGGGTAGGTTTTCTTCCCCTGTTTGTATGTGTACAACATAATAACATTACAACTATAGGCGTTTGTCATAATATAAACGTCGTCTCGTGTCACGTTTCACGTGTGTGTGTGTGACGACATTGGTGCAGTAATAATAAGTGTTTTTGTGATGAATATAATATCAAAATATATGTTTACCTGGAATGATCCAGATCTCTCTTGTTGCCCAACAACAGCGTGGCAAAGTACGAAGGCAACTTGAGCTTGCTCAGCTTGTCCAACAGGTCTTGGGCTTCGATGAAACTCGACCAGTCGACCACGCTGTAGACGATGACAAACGCGTCGCCCCACCGGATGTGATCGAACAGACATGTGGTCTGAAAAGAAGAAAAAATATATATTATTATTCACAGCTGCAGAGTCACACTACTATCGTGACGACAACCACCACACTTCTATTAATATAATATAGTTATTATTGTAATATAATATATATATCTTATGTTTATTTAAGTTTTTGGTCCTGTTTGCAGTACAGAGATTATTACCTATTTGAATAATATTGCTTTATTTCCATTAATCAACAGGTAGGAGGTAAGAGGAGGATTCATCACGTCTACAAGTTGGATAATATTTTATTATTGGGAATATTTAAATTATTCCAGTACCGACCGTTTTTGTTTAATTAAAACGTTTGTATAAATGATTAATTACATTCATAAAAATATTAAAAACGATACCCACTGAAAAAAAAATGGTTTCTTGACTTTCATTCGGTTGCGCAACACTTACAATAATTATTAATTCAAGACTTTTGTGTTTACACAATTGTAAAATATGTATTTATTAATTATTTACAATGAACGTCGTAGGTAGGTTTACAAATAATTGATTTTCTTTGGAATTTCTCAAGGTATGCCTCTACCTGTGTTGAACGTATATACTTGGCTAAGCCCAAAATATTTCCAAGGTCGCTCGTTACTTAAGATTTTTTTTTCCATTTCGAGTCTTATCTAAAAATACAACAATGGATTGCCAGAAATTTTCAAATATTGGCTGCTATTCGACTGCTGTCTTTAGCTTTTTGACATTTAAAAAAAAATTGTGTATTTTCTCTTGAATTATTTTCTTGTGGCTGACACGTGCAACGGAAACGCCTTGTTAGAGCACATAACACATTTATTGTATTAAACGCAGCTAATGGTTATCAAATTGAAAACAACTAAATTGAATACCAGATAAAAACGTATGAATGAACAATAGATATAAATTATTGTGCCAAGTTGTTGTCTAATCGACTGCCAAACGGTTTTTGCCTAACATAATTGGTGATATTATAATTAGGTACCTCCTGTTACATTACATAATAGGCCAAAACGACAATGGCGTTTAATAATTATTATTCGGTTATTGATAACACCGCTTGTAAATTTAATTCACATAAAATGCTACACGAGAAATCACGGTTGTGGCTAATCCGTCCAATAGAGAGGAAAGAAAAGATATATTTCAAAAACAAAGAAAAGTAAACGTTGCCCACTTAGTCTGAAGACAACAATAATAATATTATATTATACAAATGCAATTCTCATGGTCTAACCGCATTTGCACATGCCTTTGTCATTTTTTCTTTGCAGTTGTACTTGCAACACACATATTTTTTTTATGGCATTCAAAGCTGTTAATAGGACCCCCCCCCCCAAATTGTAGGTGTAGGTGAAATTTATTTCTTGGTAATTTTAAATCAATACACAAATTCAAGCACTTTTTATGATATTTGCCAATGCTAAACAATAATCAAAATATGTGTTTTAGGAGTGACACATTTCCTTAGAATTATCTCTGTCGATATTGACACAACTTAAGTGTGTTATAATTTTTGATTAAATTCAAACGCACTCTAAGAGGATTAACACAAAGCCGGCGGCGGCGTTAAGTATAATAGGTAATAATTATTCGATAACTAAATAAATAATAAAACGGATTTTATTAGGAAAACACACGAATTTTCCGTGTCAAGGCGAAACCGTTTAAACGCATAAACTACTCAAATGTGTAACTACGTGCCCGGAAATTAGGTCGACTTCATTTTACACTACTAAATCTTCTGTAGTTACATTTTAATTTATATCATGAGAGCCGTTCAAACAACTAATTAGAAAACTACATTACTAAGGAGCGCGACACAGTTCACTCTTAAAAAAAAAAAAAACCTAATTTCCATATTCATACTTAACAATCATTAAAGAGGCAAATCTCTATTAAATACACAAGTAAGTAAAGTACATACCCATAATTGTCAAAACAAAATATGTCAATGTCAGTATATTTTATGTTTACTGAAAGTTTTCCTCAAAGCGTTTGAACTCTAAACGTTTGAAAATAATAGTTTTTCTTTTACATATTAGAGCTTTTATGTGGGCGAAGCCGATAAACGATGAAATTTTTCCTAATCAGTAAATTTTTCTTATCAGTAGATAAGGGAAATTTACTGATAAGAAACGTTTCTTATCAATTGATAACACAGTGGGCGTTATAAATCCCCATAAGAGGTCTATATTTAGATTTGGTCCTGTGGAAATAATATCCAGTCGATGCGACTTGATTATGATACTGTGGTTTTTTTTATTCTATATAATTGTACAAATTATAATAATAATAGGTAATATATATATTTCAAAGTCGTTATTTTATATTGTATAGTTTTTACTCGTTGATTATTATAATATAATAATGAGCTTATATTGTAATACCTAGTATGGATGTCCTTTGGTCGGAAAATAATGTACTATGTATTGTGAGTACGGATCAAGTCCGTAGGGGATTCACGATAGCGGATGTACTAGGCGACAAAATCGGCTTTGTAAATTCAAATTCGTACAAAAAAAATATATATAGATGTATACGATTAATATTATATAAGTACAATATAATTGTACAAACTTTGATTGCCGGCGGCGACTCGTTAATGAAATAATAAATATTGAACACACAAACCGGTCAACACTGATAATAATATATGCGAGGGACACGTGTGTGTAGATTTATTGTTAAAGATTTTTTTATGTCTGCTCTCGTTTGTTTATTTTAATCAGTATCTCATTGTGTATGTGTGTGCTTTGGTAGTAGACGTTTATTGTACCTACGGACCGGAACAAATCAAAATCAAGTGCAACGCTATATTGACGTTCATAATTATCATTATTATTATTACTATGCACACGACAAGCTATACTGTACAAGTACAAAGTGTGTGTGTGTATGACCTTCTGAAAAAGATATTATGACAATTATTTTGTATTAACAACGCACCGACACCTTCGGACCGACGTCAAGTCATAGAGATGTATTTTTTCTAAGTCGATGATGAACAAAACCCCCCCTGCCCCCCAAAAAAAAGTCAGGGTTAGACCGAGAAACCGACGAATACTCGTGGGAAGTTTTCTATGTGATTTTTGGTTGGGTATATTAAATCGGCCATTAGATGTCTGTTTGTGTTTAACGGTGTTAAACGGTATAGTATTATAATGTCCAAAATTATTTTATTATAGTATGGGATAAATGTGGACAAAAAAAAAAAGCATTGTGAAAACTATAATGTGCCCAAAGACAGCTGATAACAGCTGCCTATAAGATAATAGTGATAAGGGACATTTGATAACGGCTCCTGATAAGAGAACAGTTAGGTTTAGGTCGGAATTGTGTTAAATAGGTAATGTTAGAAGAAAGACAAAGACTGTTGGATAAATATGAGAGGAGAAGGAAACATATTCATGATTCTATGCTTCTCCCAGTGGCGGAGAAATTAATGAGTTATATTTTAGAGGTTTTTTCCTTAATACGATTTTCTTGATTTTGAATTGAAAGGTGTTTTGCGCAATTTGTTCTTTGGTTATACTTCTAGACATTTTTGTACTTGGTCATATTTTCCTAGACTTGTTTAGTAGGCAAAATAAAGCACTTAACATATTATCTTATAATTTAAATGACCTAAGTTTTTCGATTTGTTTCAGTTGTTTTAGATAGTTAATTTAATATGTTTAAATGATGATCTCTTATCGGTTTGCTGCAAAATATCACATTGGATTTTTAATTATTACAATTCGAAATAGGAAATATATCAAACCGATTTTTTTATATTAATTAGGAAACATGTTATCACACAACCCGTAATTAACTGGAAATAATAATAATAATAAAAAAATCAACAAATGCCCTTTACGGTTGACCGGTGTTTATGAAATGATACTTTATTAGATTAAGTTGATTGAAAACCAAAATTACAAAGCCATTTTGGGTTAACAGGGTTAAGTGTGGTAATTGTCAACGAACGGGGCAAATGTAAATGTATTTTTTTTTAATTTGATTATGTATTATAATATCTTATAATTAAAAGTATAGAGTTCAAATTGAAAACCGTCAATTGATTAAGGATCAACGGACGGACAAACTTCAAAGAATGGAAACGTTTTTCAATCAGCAAGTCAAAACCGTAATTAAACACAGATTATTTTTTTTCCCGGCACACTTTCACTCTGTTAAATATGTATTCGTTTCATCTTCGACGATTTCAGAGCGTTTTTATAGTTTAAAGGTGTGTAACTTTCGATGAATTTTCAAACTATCAAAGCAAAAAAACAAATAAATATAAATTGCTCGCTTATCAGAAATACACAAGTACCCTTTATTGAACCATCATAAAAAGGATATTATAATATATTTTACATAAGGTAATTGTAAATAAATCCAAATGGATGGATAAACATTAAATTATTGTTTTAACAAACAGAACAGCAGTAAACGACTACTGCGAAATTTGTTACACCATTTAAATATAAAACATTATGTCAAACCATAGACATTGTTTGACAGGTGGTTAAACATATGGCTAGGTATGAAATAAAAAATTGATTGATAAAATATGCCTCGATCGTTTATTGATCGTTGTGTAAAAATTTTACACAGTTTACACACTTTACTCGGATCTGTTTCATATTGATATATATTTTACAAAGTAAACAGTCGAGGTTTCGAATTACCGGTTTGATCTAGTTTCGTCATATCGATATCTATATAACATTATACATTGTGCTAGCCCGTATCAGTGTTTTGCTATTATCAATAATTGTTTACAAAAATAGAAAAGTAATAATAATAATGATTAAGAAGATACGACGTCCCGTCAACTATATAACCCGACACGAATGTGTCAATCAGCACTTAACCCAGAATTGTACTGGACTATTGCCAAATAATACTCTTATTTTCATTAAACTTGAGTACCAATCGCTTAACAATGGGGACTTTTTTCTCACGTGTGGTCATACTGGTTTTAGTCCTTTTTTTAACTTCACCATCGCATACAAGCTAGTATATA